TATATCTTTAGCTTACTATCTATTCCATTCATATGATTTTATTGGTCAGACTTTGACTGACAGCTGTAAAAACAGCTGAGAAGACTGGTCAGCTAATCCTTTTGAGCCTGCTTACTAGTAACATTCTCTAACACAATTACCATTTAACTTTGGTGGATTGTAGGACACCTTGTATTCTGTAAGAACTTGCTGAATTTAATAAATGAGAGACTTTTCATGAAAAGTGTAGCATAAGCTTAATTTTCAAGTTCATGTGCTAAACAACATCTGGGTATCATCACTACCACCCTGTTGCCCTTCGGGTCTCTGACTTGTGTTTTCTATTGGGGAACTTCATGCAGTATCTGCTTTTGTTGTTGGGCGGTTTATAAGTATTGTACATGGGTGGCTGCAGGCATGTTAGAATTTAAAAGGCTGAATAGCATATGTCTGCATAAAATCCTCTTGGCTTATTACGCACTTCATGCTAATGTTACCTGGTTAAAACAAAGTGTGATACGTAAGAATAGAAGATGTGGTCTGTTGAAGAACTAGATTAACTTATGCATTGCACATTTGAAAAGCATTGCAAATACTAAGGATTTGAATGAAACTTGTACCTATTTGATAGGTGTCTCTTTATATTATCTTCAGTACTTAATGACTTTTTTGTTTTGGATTGTGGTATGCAACTTTTTACTAGAAACAATGTGAAAATATGCTTTCAGCTCAATGAGCTTGTGTCTTAATCAGTAAGCTGCCTAAAAATACTACATTCATAAACATATTTACCTTGTTTCCTTTTCTAACAAGTCCTTTTTAAGTGATGTTTCATGCACTTGCATTTGAATCCACATTTTGAACCCCTTTTGTGGGATTCGGGACTTCTGGGTGGGAGTCTGTGCAGATGTAGGTCTAGGCTTGGCTGAGTACATAGTCTTAAAATACCTGAGAACAAGCAGCCCCTTATTTCACAAATACATCCTGTAGTTGAATGACTCCCACATAGCGTTGGCTCTTCCTTCATTTGAGGGAGAGGGAAAAGGAAACATCCTTTTAAAATCCCTGTTGTCTTCATTTTTTGCTTAGAACCAATTTAACAGGCAAATATAACTCATCTGTCAGTAGGTACAAGACTAGCGAGAAGTCTTAACTCTTTGGATTGAGGTGTATCTGTGTTCTCTAGTATTTACTGATGTATTACTATATTGTAATTATAATTGTTATTATAAGCAACTGCTGGAAAACATTTGGAAAAGATGTGGAGAGTTACAAAATAAAATGGGAAGTTTGCCCTTTGAACAGTGACCCCAGTGGGATATAAATTTCCACTTCCTCCTTTGTAAAAGTCAAGGCAAAGAATTTTTGGATAGCTGTGGCCAGTCCTTATGGTTGTATGTATCAGGAATGGAAACTGCTTATGTGTTACAGGTTTTCCTGAATCCTCTTCTAGACAAATCTTGTCTGTGTTTATTACAAACAATGAATTTTAAAGGAATCCTCACTTTGCATCTTTCATGCAAAACTTAAACTGCAGTGGCAAGTTTACAATAAGACTACGGATTCTGGATTTTACATATACTTATTGCAAACATTAATGCACCATTCAGTCCCGACACTGCGGCACACGTCTGCTTGCATGAGTTATTGACATGCTTATACAGCTGTTATCTTCAACTCTAAGCATGTTGGGGTTTTGTGCTATTTCTTGGCAAGCTGCTGTGAAAAATCTTGATTACCAAACCAGTCTCTGTCAGTTTAGCCTACTGGTACCGGTATTGAAGGTTTTAACTCAAAGCTGTAAGAAACTGTGGATGACTTTCTAAATGTCAAATTGACTACTGAAATGCAATAGTTGTGTAGAAAGAATGGTGGGCTGCTGCTGCAGATTTTCCATTCAGAGATTCAGTGCTAGCAGACTTCTAGCATTCTTGTTAATGAAGAAATTTCCTGGTTAAAGTTATAATTAATTTTAGAAAAGCCTAATCTCACACAATTAGTGTATTTTGATTGCCCTGAAAGAACAGGACTGACTCATCAGCTGAACAGTTTGTGCATCTATAGAAGTCAGTAGCTGAAGGTACAGAAAGTAGTGGAGCTTTCGGAGCCCTTTTAGCACTGTGTGTTTCTCCTTTAGAGTGCACACAGCAGTGTCAGCTGTACAAGGAGCCTTTGAGTTGTCGGATAGGATTCAGACTGAGAGAAGGGAAGAATCCTTGGCCCTCCTTGGGAAGGAGGGGAGAGAGATGTAACACGAACTTCATAGTGCATTAGTTGGAGCTGGTAGTTTTGGATGACCTGTTTCTTTCTTTGGTACGGGCTCTTACCCCTGTGATGACTGACATTAACAGTACAATTCAGTTGTCCTACTGCAAGTTGCTAGTGGCATTTAAGAAGCATTAGTGTGCTCAGAACATCCGTGTGACAGATGCACGGCGAGAGCTGTGCTCCGGGCTGGCTGCTGGATGGAATACTGAAGGGCATTTTGGGCTGTGTGCTAGATGGTGTTTGCACTAGATGCTTAATATGTAGGCACCAAATAACCCATCAGAAGTGATTGTGGAGTGACTGTACACTTTCTAGTGCAAATGAAGCATTTTTATAGTTTCTTCTTTCACTAGCTGTGAAACCAGCGTGTAGAAATAAGCACCATCTTTCATAATAGGAAGTTTTATCTGGCAGTGAGAGGTTTGTTATAATAATCTATAATTGGTTTTAGAATTTGATAAATGCACTCTTAGATGTATCTAACCCTATTAGATACTTTTACACTCAACATGCCAAATTCAGTCAGACTTAAACATAACATTTTTATCTTAAAAAAAAAAAAATCCATTTTCTTCACATAGGTGCCTGTCTTCAGTTCTGATTCTGTTGCTTAACCTCTTCCTCCTAATAATCATCTGGAACATGTTTACCACAGACAGAAAGATGAATGCTAAGTAAAAAGCTGTTCTTGTATAACTCTTAAATAATACCCAAGGAAGTTACACATCCTAGAACAGACCTTACTAAATGCATGTGGAGATCTCATTTCAGGATTTTTAAAACCAGCTTTTAACCTGGACTAATGGAAGAAATTTATTGGGTATTCTGAGGTGTCTGAAGTGAAAGTCTAGTTTCTGAAATAATATAAAGTTTCTGATGAACAAATAGTTCTGTTGATAGCCTGCCTCCTTCTCTTGGCACCTTTTTCAATGTAGTCTTCCCTCTGCCCCTACTTCTTCCTTTTAAAAAAAATTCTTCTTCCCCCCCCGCCCCAATCTGAGGCTATACGTTTTCCTAGCTCATACTCATCTGGCATCTCAGGGGGACTGGTACACCAGTTGCTTGGGTGGTAATGTGAGCGACTCCCATGGGAGTGGCTATCCACGCAGATCTTGTACCTGGGGGAAAGGGGAAATAAAATAACCTTACTGTTTGGAAGGAATATCAGAGTTTGATTCTTTTAAGTAGAAGATAGTTTGGTTGCCAGTGCTCAAAAGCATGCTGGCTATCCGACACTGTGGTACAGGGTAAAGGAACAGGTCTTCAGTTGGGTTTTGCATAGGGGAACTGCTCGGGCTCTACTAACACAATGTTGGGTTTCTCAAATGAAACAAGGTGGTAATCCAATTACATACACTATTTGTAGTGCTGGTGGCAGCAGGCTTTTATTCTCTAACACTGTATTCTTCCCAAAAGTGGTTGGAAGGGATTTTTGGTGCCTGGTGGCACTTTTGTTCTAAGCTGACGCCCCACTAGCTGGACCCCTAAACTAATGAGGAGGTATTGCTAGTTGGAATTCACAGGTTTCTTAGAAAATGACAGACATTGACTTTAGGTGTCATGGATTCGAGGTAACTTTTTCCTCTATGAAATAAAACTTGTAACTCAGTTGAGGTAATTCTGCAGCTGTGAATAGGAATGCTGGCTTAAATGCAGAGGAGGGGAAAGCAAGTTACTTCAGGCATACCTGGGCTGGAACCCTGCCAACTAAACTCTGCTGTCTGTAAGCACTCAGTTATTTCCCTGACTTAAAGAAAGATACCCATCTTTCCTACCACAATCGAAATCTTTACAGGCACTTTGACAAAGGTGATTAAGGAGTAAAATGAAGGTTGGAGTTGGTTGGGGTTTTTTCCCCCCAATTCTGGTTGGAAATGAGAGATGGAATTGAGGGTCATGAATATATTTCATTATGATGAGCTAGGATGAGACACCTTATAGCATTAACCATTGTTTTTACATTTGAACAATGGCCTTGGGATGACAGACTTCAGATTTCATTGCTAATTTTGAGTTGCCACATAGCTCTATTGTTACTTTGTTTGTTGTTTTTGTTTCTCTGCCTTACTAGACTTTCTTCTGTAAACTAAGTACAAGGTAAATTCTTCTTTACTGAAACTTAATGCATTTAAACAATTTCTGTTGTTACTGGTCATCTAGTCTTTTAGTAATACAGTATATCATAAATTCTTGAGAGATTTGTAAGCTCTCACGCACAATTGTGTATAGTTTAAAAAAATCCTCTGCAGGAATCATTTACTACCTCTATAAAATCAAGCTTTTTCAGAATAAAAAAGAAAATAAAGTATATTAAACAAGTATGTGGTTTGTAACAAAGTTGTCGTGCTTATTTCAAAAGTTTGAAGCTATAAAACTAGAAATATTTCAAAAGCCAGTTTTTTCATTACCTGTCTGTTCAACTAGAAATTTATTCTTCTGAAACTGATAATATAACCTGAGTTATTTCAGATGTCTCCAAGAAGCTGTCTAGTGTATTAATCTTGAAACTTGATATGTTGAAAACTGAAGTTGTTGTTATTAAATTTTAACATCCTAGAAATCTTTGTAAATGACAGTTTTTGGAAAAATTCATGAGTATTTCTCGTTCTTAAATAGCTTATTCAGCCTATCATCAGAAATCTGTTTGAAGGTGTGTTGTAACATGTAATACCAAGAGGCTCAAGTCATCTGAGGATGACTGTTATACGTGATTTCATCCTACCTGACTGTCAAATGTGTATTTATCTATTTAGGTTCAGACAAAGAAGGAAGAAACTTTGCCACCATCACTTAGTCAAAACATTCCAACTTTCTATTTTCCCCGAGGATGTCCTAAGGAAAAAGTGAATATAGATGCTGTGATTGCCAAAATTGAGAGAACTTTCTCAGAGTTTCCAAATGAGAGGGCAACGTTAGAAGACATGGGGAAGGTTGCAAAGGTGAGAACTTCCTGGCTGTCTGGTTTTAGGAAACTCATGGAAAGGACATGTGAGTTCTGTTTGCCTTGCTTTCCTGCACTGTTTTCATCTCCTACAAGGTATTACCAGTAGGACATCATGTTCAACATTGTTGATAGCACAGTTGTGTGTGGGGAATCTGTGTGTGAATTATGTCTCAAATGGCCCTACAATTTGCTTACAAAAAAAAGAAACAAACATTAAAACAGAAATTGAACTATTTTTTTAGTTGTGTGAACAACCAAATACTGAAAGGCACGTTACATGATTTTTGCCTTCTGTACTGACCAATAGACTTCAGGCAAAAGCACTGCTAATAGGCACTTTGATTTCAAGCATCCACACTGCTGCTCATCTGGCAGTGTCGTGAACCTCCACTGAAAAGTCATTGAAAGACCAATTAACTTGAGATTATAGCCCTGCAGTCATTATTGAAGAGCTAATTTAGAGTTACAGCAGAGTGACAAAATGCTGAGCTTAGAAAGCAGCAAATAAATAAATACTCTAACTTCTGTGTAATGGACAATAAGCTACTTAACAAAATGGAAATTTGAGTTTGATTTTTATTGAATCAATGCTTGAAATGTTATCACTGCAAGTCACTGCCGTGAGTCTCTGGTTCTTAGCCCTGTTCCTGTCACTTTGTGTTTGAAGTCCAGGGTCTAGAAAATAGAAACACGGACTTTTCTCAAAAGCAGGACAAGGGGGTTCAGAAACTCCTTCTTTGCCTCATCAGAAGCATTTAACTGTGAAGCTGAATGACAGGGCTCCTGCCTTCCACAGCTCCTTTCCATGTAGAAGTGGAAAGAGGTAGAGACGACCCTTCTCTCTCGGCAAGAAAGGTGGAAGGGTCCACTCACCTACAATTCTGTGGTGAAAGGCACCCTCCTGAAGCACAGGGAAAAGCCTCTCAGACTGAGGACAGTATTTGTCAGACTCACTTTTTCCTTATTTTTTTAAAGTACTGCAAGTAACTCTTGGTTAAACTACTGCATGAGAAGTACCGTCCTTTTGCTCCAGTGACCTTGTGCATCTTGCAGCGTTCACAATCTTCTTTGGGATCCGCGTGAAATTCTCAGAGGTGCCAGCGTGCCTGACTACTCAGAGTCACGGTTTTAGGGAAGAGATAGGTACTCGGCTGTTAGGCGTTTGGGAAGCCTGTAGCAGCCACAGAAGCAGCGCTGTAGCCGGGAGTATTTCAGCCGTGAAGGTGTAACTGTTGGGTATCCTGAAGCAAGATACTGCTGCTCGGGGCAGGCTCGCCTGCTACTTAAAATTGGGTAGAAGACGCACGTCCTCTGAGCCAGGCAAACGTAAACTTGCTCCAGTTGAGAAGCTGTAACTGCACTGTCCTGAGCTCAGCTTAAACATGTCCAGCCATTCAGTGGAGCTTATTCATGTGGACTCTGATCAGCTGCTTGGAGCGTGGACAGAGCCTCTTATTAGGAATGCTGCGAGTTGCCCTATGTTTTGCTTTCCACTTTTGGATTTCGGCCTAAAGCAGTTGCTTAAAATTAAGTATTTTGGAAGGTGCAGTTGATTTCAGAAACAGTTTTAAAAAATATCTGTGCCTTAGTGTGTTCTTCTTAACACTTATAAAAATTACTTTTTCTAAGATTCATAAATGAGGGAGTAACCCTCAAATAAGCAATCAGTGAACTGACTTGATGCATACTTTATTCTAGGCTTGTGAATGCCCACTTTACTGGAAAGGTCCTTTGTTTTATTGTGCTGGAGGTGAACGAACAGGATATGTGTCAGTGCATAAATTTGTTGCAATGTGGCGGAAGTAAGTAGATTACTTTTTTCAGAAGTACTGTGTTCCTTTTAATTGAAATGTGATTATTAAGCTCTGAATGAGATCCAATCTGTAAAGGGGAATAAAACGTTTTTCCCATAACCAACCATTCACAGCAAACTTGTACCTGGGAAAAGATAAGTAAATCATCACTTCTGTATAAACAAGGGAACAAATCTCTTTATACTGTTTATAGATTTTTTTTTTTAAAGTGGTTGCTAAATGACTGGCTCTTTATGGGAAAAGTAAAAATTACGGCCCTAACTTGTAGATGCCAGGTCTGGACAAAATGCTTTTTCTTCCTGGTTTGCCTTCCAGTTCTAACTTAAAAATGTCCTTTTTTTGTAATCAATTACATGGTGTGCTCACCTCCTTAAACATATGTGAATGAGGCCGTACTGCTTTGATAAGTGTACTTGGAGTGTACTTTGTCATTTGCAATTAGCCTTTGAATTACGTGTTCTGGTTGCACTTTTGCAGGCTTTGCTCTAGGATGCTCGTACAAGGTAGCAGGAGCAGTTTTCTATGTAGAGTAGTAAATGGAAATATTTACTTTTCAGAATACTTCAGACCTGCTATGATGATGCTGCAAAGTTTGTTCATCTTCTAATGAACCCTGGATGCAACTACTTGGTGCAAGAAGACTTCATTCCCTTTTTACAAGTAAATTGCAACGGAAACTAATTCTGGAAACAACAATATGAGCTGGAAAAGCCCTAAATGTTTTGAGCCTAAACATACTTTTTCATGTTCTTCATTAAAGTTGATTGATAGTATTTAGTGTAACTCACTTAGTATGGTCCCCTAGGATGCTAGTGACTGACTTTTTTTACAGTTAATCATTTTGTATAAGATGGGGTCTCTTGGAAGAGCTACAGTAAGATGCATGGATTTAAAATTGTTTGCAGGAATAGCACATATATCAGAGAATCCTTCTGGTTTAGAAAGGCAGTTAAGTTACTGAAGTCATGGAGGTTCACTGGAGGGCAAAGGAAAGGTGGCATATGAATTCAGGACCTAATACAGTTTCTCTCAGAGCAGCAAACACCACCTTTACTAACAAACAATAAAACCTGAATTGGATTGTACTGAAACAGCCACAGAGCTGAAACGGTCAGCAGAGTTCAAAATCTTCAGCCCATCTAAAATATAGGAAACCTTGTGTTTAATGGCTTCTTAAAAATACAATTTTATTTTTTAAAAGTCGGCAGTGTTGTTTACATGAGGTAGGTTGTAAATAAAGCTATCATTAATGACTGAGGTAGTTAATTTGAACTGTTTTGGTTAAGGAAGCAGATGTGCTATTCTGTGCTGTTTTATGTAGCCACTAACAAATACTGTTTGGATATTGCTATTCCTTTTGTATAGGATGTGGTGAATAGTCATCCTGGCCTGTCATTTTTAAAAGAAGCATCTGAATTTCATTCTCGGTACATTACCACAGTAAGTGATTTGTGTTTTGGAACAGCTATTTTTTGTTAACTAAGTAGGAAAATCAGAAGTACTAAGACTAGTCTCTATGTAAAAGCATCCCTGTCCCTGGAGAAAAGTTGTGTGCTGTCAGTCTTCATTTCTACGTAACTAGCAATCTTGTGAAGAAAGACTGAATTTCTTAAGCATCAGAGTTCTTAACATTTACAAGAAATTGCTGAACTTAATACTGGCAAGAGAAACTCTGAATTGTAAGATAAGTTAGTGAACGTTAAGTGAAGAGTAGGCTGTTGTCTTAAATGCTTTGATTGTGGCTATAGACTCCACTCATTAGAATCTTGACCTTACTCAAGGTTTAATTAAATGGAATTTTGAATGAAAGCTCTATATTAAAGTGATTATGTTCAGTATTGAGTAAAATAATGATAATACTGAAACTGCTTGCCTCTTTTCTCTCTGGGGATTTTTTTCTTTCTAAGCTGGTTTTATACATGAAAAGTTCCACTTCTCTCTCCCTAGGGTTATGTGACAGAAGTATTCTTTCTGCACGCAAGGGAAAAATCAGTGATACTAAACTTTCTCAACTGGGGGCTAGACAGCTGATTCCACTGGAATCTCAGAAGTCTTAAACTCTTCAAAATGACATTTGGCTCACTTTCTCTGTGCATATGAAAAATAGCTTAATGAATATTCTCCAACAAAAAAACATGCAGAGTTGATCATCTTGTATCCAGTTTACACTTTGACCCCAACCAAAACTGTGGAAGCTTTCATTAAAGCGTTTGGTTTTGGTTCCTCATGTCCTTGGAGACTGCCAGCCTGTTGAGTGTGCCCTGCTGCGCTAGGGTTTGCTGCTTCTCGTAATGGTTCTGTGAGCTCCCAGGGCTTTCTTGTTAGATGTGACTGAAGGAAATGTTCTGCCTGTGTGTAACTTCCTTCTTAATGGATCCTGGGTTGCATCAAAGCCTGCTCTGTTTAAAGCTGTGGAAGCTTGCTGCCTATCCTGAAGGACCACAGGAGGGAAAAGGCCTTGCTGTTTCCAGTTCCTCTTCTCTGGAGGAACGGCTTACTTGAGTAGGCCTGAGTCCTGCAATATTGAATAAACTAGTGCTGCTGGCACTTCACTAGCAAAACTTAGTGTAGTCTTCAACAGGAACCACTGTCTAATGAAAAATCCCAAAAGTAAACGAGGTTTGCTATGAACATAGCAACAGTGTGTGGAATACTTCTGTGCAGATCACAAAATGGCAGGAGGACTCTCTGCTCCTTCTTGTCTTATTTTAGGGTGGAGTAACTGTTGTCCAATACAGTCTTCTAAAATTCTGTTCTGCAAGTTATTACTAATAATTATAGATCACTTTCTGTAAGAGTAAATAAGGCATTTCATACCTGTGTGCAAGTAGCTTTACATTGCTACATGAAGCTTCATCAAAAGGATTTGATAAGCACCGCAGTTAAGATTTAATGTCTGCTCATGCTAACTTCCAATTGCGAGTTAAATGATCCATCTTTCTGCTGTGTTTGTGTGCACACGCACATATAGCTGTGCGTGCGTACACTACATACGTCTCATGAGTGAAGCAGGTGACTTGTATGCGTTGTTCAACCATGGAAGCAAGCGGTTCCGTCTGCTAGGCTGTTCGGGTCAGCCTAGTGGTAAGGTTAGGTACTTAGGTTCAGGATGAAGCTGAAATGTGTTAAACGTTTGCCCTGACCAATGAGATAGTACACCTAATCTGAAAGTATTGTTTGCCCTGACCAATGAGATATATACATAATATACTTTCAGATTAGGTGTACTATCTGAGCCATGAATTCTTGAAATTGTAATCTGTATTTCACAACTTCCTCTCCCTTCTGACAAACCCCTGTGCAGCATAGTACAGAAGACAATTTTCTGACAATTTGCTTATACTCTGCTTCAGTTCACTTAAAACCATTCTTTAAGTCTGTTGCCAGTTGTCTTTAGCAAACATTCAATTTTATTTTTATTTTTAGACCAGTTAAATGTATAACAGATGAGATAATGGCATGCAGATGGATTAAATTGCAAAGCTAAGGCAAAACCTTTTTAGAAAAAATAGCTTTGTAGTATAAGCCAAAAATGGGCCTTTCCTAAACTCACAATTAGAATTGAGTTAATTAAGTTTCAGAAGTAGGCTGGTCTGTTCTCCTTTCTGGATTCACTGAACCAGCTGTTCTTGCTCAAAGTAAGAGCTGCAGAGGTTGCTGCATGCTACAGTTTAAGCTTCAGTTTAAAACTTTATGAATAAATTACTTTTCTCATTGTAACCTTGAAATGATTGGTGTGTTTTAACTATTGATTTACTGCAATTAAATTGTGAGGTGATAAACTTTAATATATTAAAAGTCTTCAGTTTGGAAGAGGCTTTATTTGGGGGGAAAAGGGTTCCTAGTGAGATTTTTCTTTTAGCTGGTGACTACTGTGGTGCAAATGAAACACTACACATGCAATGCTTAGTCTTGCTAATTAGCAGGTATAATCAATCTCCAATTAAGCAGTTACAGTTCATAATATATTTAGGGGGTTTTTTGTCTGCTTTTGTTAGTGGTGAATGACTTGAAATGTATATCTGGTTGACTTAAGTCAAACTGAGGTGAATACAATTAAGAAACAGGAAAAAAAAACCCACACACACAAAAAATTAAAGTCTTGGAAATTAATTAAAAAAAATATGCCGACAGGCAGGAGTTTACCAAAACAATATGCATGTAAAACTGACTAAAACAGAAGTATTGGATACTCAACTGAATGGATTTGTTTCTGGTTCCAATATCAGTCATGGCACAAGAACTAGTCATCCTTCTTGCATAGGTGATTGTATACTTCAGTTAAAAAAACTTCTATGTACTACTGTGAATGCTACTGAGAGGTTTTATTCAAGTAGCTTTAACTAGAATAAAATTACGTAGGAAAAGCCTATTCTCTTTCCACCTGCAGGAAATATTTCTGTGAAAATGTTGATTTTGTATTTGCAGACTTAAGATGTAGCGACATCCCCCTGTACTCTGATCCTTAAACAGTCCAATTCTAATTCTGTAACTTCATTTATGAAGTAAAATATTATAATAAATACAGGTCTTTAAATCTCAAGTAATGACCTATATTGATAGGTTTATTAGAATATATCCTGTAAATCTGGAAGACTGGGAGTGAAATTGCCAATAGACATATTCTGGGTAGCTTACAAGTATTCTGCAACTTTACTGTGTGTGAAATGGGTACAGCAGCATTGAAATAAGACTTTTCAAAATGAGCTTAAATGTAGATTTAGAAATGGCTTGGTAATATGACATGTAAGAGAAGCATCAACCTGCTGAGTAATGCAGCGAATAGAAACGGGACAGGTGGAGTTCTGTAATGCGGATCAGCTAAGACTTGTCTTTGCCAAATGCTTGGGAGGGTACTTAAGTAGCATACCTAAGAGCCCCTTCCCATATTTTTTTGTTTGTTTCTTGCAGGTTATACAGAGAATATTTTATACAGTAAATAGGTCCTGGTCGGGGAAAATAACTTGTAACGAGCTCAGGAAAAGCAACTTTTTGCAGGTACATAATATCTAAAATTTTGCGAGACCGATGTTTCTACACCTTTAAAAACAGCATTAACTACATGCTTAAGGCAGTAGCCTAAGTAGCATTTCTTCCCTTTCCAAAAACTGGTGAAGGCTCAGTTTCATTAATTCTCACACGCTGGAATCTGTGTCGATGTCACCTTTTATCTAAAGCTGTATAAATGCACAAGATTGAGATCAGCCAGACTTCTGCCATTCTCCTATGGACACAAGAGGGTTCTACCTTGTGTGTTCAGTCTTTGCTGTCATCCTGCATGGTGTGCCCTGTCTCTGAAGATAAAAATTGTTCCACTGAAGTAGTGTTAGATACTAACTTGGTTGTGAGAACTCAGATCATTCAAGCAATGTCTTACAAATTCCTTAATGTGTTCTATTTATCCTTCTGATAGAATGTGGCATTATTGGAAGAGGAAGCTGATATTAACCAGCTGACAGAGTACTTCTCATATGAACATTTTTATGTTATCTATTGCAAATTTTGGGAGCTGGATACAGACCATGACCTCTATATTGATCGGAAGGATTTAGCTCGACATAATGATCATGGTATGACAAACGAAGCACCTCTGTTCACATCTACTAAATGACCTGTAAACTTTCACCCGAGCAACTGCCAAGGCCAGTGTTCATGTCTGTTGGTACAGCTGATCCTGCCAACTCGGTGAACTAAAGCCAGACAAGTCATCTGTGAGGCTGCTTGGTATTTAGCAATACCAAATTTGAGGAGAATTTTGAATTTGAATTCTAATCTTGGCAAAGTAATAGGGAAGAAATGTTTGTAGGTGTGTAGGCTTGATCTAAAAAGAAACTCATTTAAGTCTTCAAATATTATAAATGGCTGCTTTTGGCCATTTTGGGTTGTTATCTTGGAAACAATCCTTGGAAATCCTTGGAAACAATCCTTTTTACTTATAGTAGTATGGCTTAGGGCAAGGTATGGAAAAGTAGAAAAGACAGACAAACATACACTTGGGTACTTAGCTTATTTTAAAGTTTTGTTAACTCAGCTGCAGTACATTGTGTTTTAGTACTACTTAGCAGCTTAATGTTTTCTGCATTCATAATATACAGCTGCCATTCTGTAGTCTTGCAGACTTCTACCTGTTTTAAATATTCTTGTCGCTTCTGTGAAGCTGTTGGGGTTTTTTTGGATGCTTTGTGTCCATTGTCATCTTAAAAGTATTCCCTTGAGGACCAGGAAGTTTACTTAAGCGCAAAGTGGTTATGGAATATTAACCCACATTAAACAGCATAAACACAATTATGAATGATTGCTTCTGAAAACTTGCCCTCTGAAGTCTGACTGCACTTTGGGGCACTGAGGAAGGAAAGCCTCTTTCATTTGAGGGGTTGCTTTGCCAAGTTGGTACACTACAGAGAGGAAGGAAGACTGATACGATGCCACTTGTAATTTAGTTTTGCATCCTTTAAAACCGTGGAATATAGGTTAAAGCTTAATGCTGCTGCTGAGTGAGAACTAGATTAAAGAGCATAAAATGGATAGGATAACCCCACTTCAGTCTTTAAACTTGTATTTTTTTGCCTGTCAAAATCAGATAATCTGGCTTCAGCAGACTCTTTCTAATGTTACTGGTCTAAAATTAGACTTGATCGAACACTTATTTTAATATTTTCTTACTACGTATGTAGCTGTTGTTAAGGTTGAACAACTTCAGTGTTACAAAAGTAGATGAGAAGCAGCAGCACGTAATGTCTGAAACAAATCGGCTGTCCTGCAGTTCTGGGGATAAATACTAAGTAGGGATTAGTGTCCTTAATAGACCAATACAGTGATAGCATCCCCATAAGTACATAAAACAGATGAACTATTTGAATGGGTAACCACCTGCTTTAATTACCAGTACAACTACAATGCTGAAAAAATATTTCAGAACTAGAATAATGAGAAGTGATTCTCCTCCTTCAGGATTAATATCATGTGCTGCTTTCAGTACCATCCACAAATTCTTCAGGATAAACTTGAATATCCTTTACAGAAGTAGTGCTCGGGCAAGACATATCTCTCAAATCCCTGAAATGATTTCAGAATAGAAGCCTGGATCAGAACCACGTCAGAAATAGACCCATGTCGAAATCGGTTAGGTATGCTTATTATGTATGAACGTGCCAACTCTGTTTTGGCTCTCTGCCAAAACCAAGGTCATGTAAAATGTGATGGCACTTGGAAACATGATTTACTTGTCAAAGAACTGGTAAATGCTGTCTTATTGATCAGCCAATTTTATTGCTTTTATTCAGTTGCTGTTTCTGTATCAAGTCTGAATTCCAAGCTGGTTGGTTCTGGCTTTGCTCTGGGGACTTGGTGTTAAGTGATCTTCTCCAAGCAGACTCAAAGGGCTTCACGAGCACTCCACTTGATCTTTCTCACAGATGTGTGTGCATGAGAGGGTTCCAGTAAACTCTTCAGCTAGACAATACAGAGCAAAAATAACTTGCATATAACTGACCTTACTTTAAACCTTTTTTACAGCTATTTCAACTAGGATGATAGAGCGGATCTTCTCAGGAGCAGTAACAAGGTACGTATTTTGTATGCTGCTCTAAATCTAGTTTAATATTTGCATGTTAAATTCTGTGACATTTTCAGAGGAAGAAAAAAAGGCAGCTTTCCCCTTGAAATGGAGCAGTGAATTTCAAGAGTTAGTATTGTGGTTTGAACCCTGGTAGTCCTAGAGTGCTCTTGGAACCTTTGGCTCAGTCCAAGTTCTTTCCTTTCTTTACCCATATGAACACTTGCCATTGGAGATACGGTTTAGCAGGGTTAGGAATGAGGAAGGGCAGAAATCTTGGCATTTCAGTTTTTCCATCCCTCAAACCTGTAAAATTTTCAAAGGGAATTGGGCTTTTCAGTACTGCCTGTAAAATCAATGCTTATTGCATCAAGGAATTTACAAAAACACCTCCAGTGGAGGTAATTCACGTTTTTGATGGTCATTCTTCGTTTTTCCCACTTGGATTGACTTCCTCGTGTGTATTTATGGCATTTTACTCATTTTTTGAAACATTTTGCTAGCACAGCATCTGCAGTTGTTTATCAGTCACTTTGCAGAAATAAGAAAAGCTGAAATGGGTGAAGTGACGCTTAGCAGGCAGTTGCCTGGAGCTTACTCCTTTACGTGAGCTTCCTGGGCAAGGCAAAACACGGCCCGTGCTTTCTTACGCATCTTGAGGAGAACACAGCAAAAAATAGATTTTAGGAATGAAGTGTAATGTCTAAGACTGCCTACCTGACCTATTTCCTGAATGTTATTTTTATCTTCATACTCTCATTCCAACACTTCCAGCTAATGGAGTTTTGTACAGCTTTAAAGTTCTTATCACTTCTACCTGAATAGAAATTCTAAAAAGTGTGTGTATCTGTAGATAACATATTTTTTTAAATGAACGGAGATTATCCCTTCTGGTAACAACTGAGCAGTGGTGTCGCCACCCAGGCAGGAAAGGTGAACATCTTTCTGGTCAGAGTGCTACCCTCCTCCTCCCCATTGCAGTAGAAACACAAGAGAGCACACCAGCTCCTTCTCCTGAACAATCAAAGTCGTCTGTGACAAGTCACCCTACAAACACTGTGTTGTTTAGGAGTGAACAAACAGGGAATAGCAGCAAGGAAAATAATCCTTCATTTTGGTTAGTAAAAGCTAGGTGTGTTAAAATAAATTTTCTGTCTTTTTCCTCGTTGGCTGTCAAGGGGCAGAAAAGCACAAAAAGATGGGAAAATTAGCTACGCTGATTTTGTCTGGTTTTTGATATCTGAAGAGGACAAGAAGACACCAACTAGGTGAGAATGAATTCATGTTTTAACAGAACTAAAGATTGACTTTATTGGTTTTCCAGCCCTTAAATGGGGACCACTGATGCTCAGCTGGGACTCTGATGGAAGAAGCTGAACTATAGAAACAGGAGTGGAAAACTGGAACGGTTCATAGAATCATAGAATGGTTAGGGTTGGGAGGGACCTTAAAGACCATCTAGTTCCAACCCCCCTGCCATGGGCAGGGACACCTTCCGCTAGACCAGGTTGCTCAAAGCCACATCCAGCCTGGCCTTGAACAATTCCAGGGATGGGGCATCCACAGCTTCTCTGGGCAACCTGTTCCAGTGCCTCACCACCCTCTCCGTAAAGAATTTCTTCCTGATATCTAATCTAAACCTCCCCACTTTCAATTTAAACCCATTACCCCTTGTCCTGTCACTACAGGCCCTTGTAAAAAGTCCCCCCCAGCTTCCTTGTAGCCCCTTCAGGTACTGGAAGGTGCTATAAGGTCTCCCCGGAGCCTTCTCTTCTCCAGGCTGAACAAGCCCAACTCTCTCAGCCTGTCCCCATAGCAGAGGTGCTCCAGCCCTCTGAGCATCTTCACTGCATCATTGTTATTTCTTGGTGTCTCCTATTGCTGCTCTAAAAGTTTTAATGACTTCTAAGAAGCTAATTAAATGCAATTGGTCCATATGCTGGGTGTGGCCCACTTACAGACAAGGTCATAGGTGAAGGAAGTGGCAGTTGTTTCATGATGCCAGTGACTTTGGGAAACCATGCAGCTTGCATTCGCTGTCGGGTATTGATAAGAAACCTGTTGCGTGACATGACGCTGCTTCGTTCAATATGAAGAAACAACCTGGGTTTCAATTTTTCATTGGCTTCCTTGAGTTTTTCTTTAAAGCGACACATTTTAGTCATCTCCTCCCGTATCCACCCACGACTCACAAGCATGTTTTTAAATGCAGTAATGTACGGCCTAGCAAATACCAGAAACTCTTACCATGGTACCTGTTGTTTAATGACTTCCCAGGTCTAGTTTTGCATCTGAGAGTAGTGTAGCCTTTAAAACAGGCAATACAAATTCTTAATTCTGTAATAAGCTTGTGTAAAGAGCTCTTTGCTATTACTGAATTTCAGCATTGAATACTGGTTTCGCTGCATGGATCTTGACGGGGATGGTGCCTTGTCTATGTATGAATTGGAGTATTTTTATGAAGAACAGTGCCAAAAACTAGATAACATGGCCATAGAACCTTTGCCATTTGAAGATTGCTTGTGCCAGATGCTGGATCTCGTGAAGCCACAATGTGAAGGTAATGAAATCCTTTTCCATCTAACTTCTCTTTCTCTGGATTAGGAGTTAGTGCATGCTCAAGAGCAGTCAGCTGGTCACACAAAGAATATGCCTTTAGGTTGTCTTTTCTCTGAAGTCTGTTAGAGTTTAACTGAATGGTCTTCCAATGGCAGGCAGGCATTCATTTTCATACTAAAATTTAATATGTTCCTTTAAAATGCCTTGTAGGGTTTTATTTGGGGCTTATAGGCATTCTTAGTCTTAAATGAAATATTGCCACGGTCTGGCTGAGATAATGGTCTCAAGAAAAGCTCTTGACTGTTCTGTTCACTTGCCTCTTCCCTGTTCCAGTACTCATTCAACTGAGATTTCTTTAGAGGGACCAGTTTCTAAACAGTGTTTGTCTCTGTAGATGACTAATGACTCATTTTAGGTTAGAAGCCTAAGCTGCCCTTAGGAAATTCATGTCAATGTTAAGGGGCTTAAAAATAACTGAATACTAATCTGTTCTTCATTTCTGACAACTTTCTGAATTTATTTGAACCTTCATAGGCCTGCATTATACCCTCCTGTATTTCACACATATGATCTTTAGCTGCTGAGACTTGTGTTTACATTTTACACCTAAAAAACCTACAATGTGAGCGTGATGCTTGCTTCATATTTGCCCTTCTGTGCTGCTCAGTACTAAAAATATTTTTGCGTGCCTTGGTAAACTTGTTACTCTTCAACACCACAGTAATGCCTTGCGTGTTCCTGGTACCTACCTCTGTGCTGTTCCTGATATTTGTCTCACAGACTGATAAAACTGTGGTAGCCATGTTGGGGGATTTGTCTTGAGGGATTTGCTGAACTCAACCCAACCACGGCCTACCTGTATATAATGTAATTTCTTGACACTTGACCACAGTTAGCACTAATAACCCTTAATATGGCTATACTTTTTAACAGGAATTTCAGTGTGTAAAGGGAATTGGCAATACAGTCTTGTTGCTGCTGTTGTAGAGATTCTGCGTTGCAATAACTTTAGACCTTGCCTATTTGTTCCTGAAGTGTTTGATAGGAGTAGCAACCTCTGTGGCATATACTAATGTTTGGTAGTCTTTATGGTAAAAGAAAATTGTGGACCATCTCCTTAAATGCTTTTGTTTAGCAAATGTAATGTGCTGGTGTTTCACACTTAGACACTTCCAGTTGGAGCACTGCATTTTTCCTCCTTGAATTTCAATTATCACTTCAGTTGAGTGTTTAAGAAGGTGATTGTGTTCGCTGTCTATGAGATTATGGTTAGAGAATCAGTTAATAGTAAACAGCTTTGCTTATTGCCCACCTTATTTCTAGTATAAAGAATATTTAAAATACAAAAAACTATTTTTAAAAGGCAGTTGTCTTTTATTGAGGCATGATTTTTTTTTCATGCTAAGGCAATTTAAATGGTTCAAAACTAGAACTTAGAGCTTCATATTCTTATTTAAACCAAGTTAACATGCTAGGTGAAAACACATTTCTAAAGGCAGGTAGGGGGAAAAAATGTAAAGGAAAAAATAAATATGTTTTGGCTAGAAAGCTCTGAGACAAGCATTTATGTTATGTGGTTCCATGCAAAGCCTCTCAAACTTTCTGAGTTTCCTTCCAGCCTTGCACACTGCTTCTGAAAGGCAGTTGTCTTCAATAATGCTCCTGTTCTGCATTTCAAATGAAACAAGGTCACAGAATCATAGAATGGTCTGGGTTGGACGGGACCTTAAAGACCACCCAGTTCCAACCCCCCTGCCATGGGCAGGGACACCTTCCACTAGACCAGGTTGCTCAAAGC